CTATGGAAGGATTCCTTGTAGAAGTGGAAGTGAAATGTATTAGTACTCATGAAGGGAAAGTTTTTGATTTTAATAAAATTAAACACAGCTGCTTTTGGCAGCTTCTCTCACAGACTGGCAGCTAAAAACAACTTTATGTAGTTTGTTGAGCTTGGGGAAAAATGTCAAATTTATGCATTTTCAGAGACGGTATAATATACTGTTCTTTACAAGCTAAACTTTTTCTATTAAGATAATTTGTGGATTATTTCACTGATATATGCAATCCTATATTCAGCTACAGCGTTGGTGGCACAGGAACTCTGGAAAAGTTGTCCGTGCGACATAGAAGTTTTATTTATTGTGTTGTTTTTTTGTTTTTGTTTTTTTTTTTTTTCCTATGGGTAAAGTGGAAAACTGAAGTTGGCTTTAAGTGTTTGCAATCTGAGAAATGATGTGAAAAAGCAGCTCAACTCAATGTACATTCTTTTCAATCTTTTCTTTTTGTGTGAAGGCTTTTGTCTTTGTATCTTTGCATTATTTGTAAATGAAATGTAATAAAAGTTCAAATGTTTTTGTCTGGCTGCTTAGCTTTTTCTTAGTTTTGTTTGTTGTTTGTTTTGCTTTTTTGACTGGTGGTTTTCAGTGTTGAGGTGTTGGTGTTTCAGTGCTCACGCTTACAAACAGCAAAATCAAATGATTTTGGTTAGCTGGCTGCTTACAGCTGGGAAAACCGAACCCTTCCTCTGCCAGAGGAAGCTGCAGACGGATCTAAAAGACGCAAAACGTTGTCAGAAGCCTCGAAATTTAAACTCTCTCCGGAAATATCCCCTCTGTTTTGACGTCTCCTGGTGATGGTCTTGACTTTTCCCAGGCCAGAGCCTCAGCCACGCCGCTGCGGAGCTTGTCTGTCTGTCTGTCTGTCCAGTCCAGGCGGATTTTTGAAAGAGAAAACGAGTATGTAAATTGCTTAATTGCTTAATTAAGTTGCCATACGTGCGGGATTCGACACCCAGGCGTAGCCTCACCGTGGTGCCTCTGGCGTTGGGGCGGCCGTCGAGGTGATGTTTGACCCCCCCAGCTCGGGTGGTGATTTCGGAGCTTTTTAAGCAGAATTCATCTTTTTCTGATACTGTTTTAGGCTCATCTGTGGGAAAGGTTCCCCTGCAACCCATGGGATGGGTGTGCTGGGCAGAAACCTGTCCTGGGGCTGAAGGTTTTGTGTGGAGCGTGACCAGGGCGATGGGCAGCGGGTGGGAGTTTGTTCCTTTCCACCCTCGGCCTGGAAACGCGCCGGCTCTGGCCGGTCCCACTCCAGAACAGATTTTATTTTTTTTTTTTAGAAGCTACAGAAGGTCCCTGCAGTACCCAGAGCCCTGCTGTGGGAGAAGGAGTTCTCTGAGCTGCTTCCTCTGCCTTTTTTCCTCTTGGGGGAAGAAAACATCCCTGGGAGATTTTCACAGAGCCTCAGAACGGGGACGGGAGGTTGGTTCTGGTCGGTCTCTGCTCCCGCTGCTGCCTCCGGAGTGTGAAATTCAAACGCTGGAGACCCCACTGGGGGCAGGTTTTGCAGTTTTTAGCCCTCGGTGTTGCAGGAGGCGAGGGGCCGTCCCGTTTGTGCTGGTGTTTTGTCGCGTGGCCTCCTCCTGGGGAGGAACTTTGGGCCGCGCGGGGAAGCGTTGGACGGGAGCTGCCTTTCTGATGAAACCGTGAGCAAGTCTCCCGAAACCACCAGCAAGTTTCAGGATAATTAAAGCTTACCTGAAGCATCTTGCAAAATTTGGCTTTTATTGTCTCTTTAGGCAGCCTGAGAGGCTGCTGGGTCATTGTTACCTGGCAGGGGATTACAGCCGGGCAGGGTTTAAGATTTCCCAGGTTACCGACTGCAGAAAGGTTTTATCTGCTGGTCCCAGCTCAGGTGAGCACCTGTGGGACCAACCGGCTGTCCCGGGGAGCCCTGGCAGGCTGTCACACACAGATCAAACCTAAAGCTTCCCTTCATCATTTTAAACCTGACTGCCGCTTCCAGGGACCAGCTAGGACGGCCCAAGGCCGGGGTGGGCACTACTGAGGGAACCATGGAGCTGAGGGCGCTCCGGCAGCGCCGCCGGCTGCGGAGGGTTCCGTTACACATCTGTATCAGGAAAATTTCGTAAGAGGAAAAAGCAACATGCACGTGACCAAGGAGAATCTAGTATTTATTATCCAACATTCCAAGGATTTATTACCCAACATTCCAGAAAAAAGATACTCTCCTTAAAGTGCTTTTTTTTTTTTTTTTTTTTTTTTTTTTTTTTTTTTAATGTTTTGTGAGCAGCTTGTACATAGGCTGCTCTCTGTGTCCTTTTCAGACTAGTGCTGGGTTTGCTTTGCAGTAGGTCTTGAAAAGGAAAACAAACAAAAAAAACCCCAAAACCCAACATTCACACTTGAGCGCCTTTGAGTAGGAAAAAATGATTCCTGGGGATCATCCACTCTAATCTTACTCAAACAATTCCAGCTACTGCCGGCGGCTTCTCAGCAGATCTTTCTCCGTGCAGTGTAGAGAATTAGTGTTTACAGCAGCACAGGCTTCTATCCACACTCGCCATCTACACCTCTGCTGTTCCAACAGGTTTTTGCAGCGTTTAAAGAAAAGTTGCTGTTGTAGGAAAGATGCCAGATAACGCGTTGCTGGGTGGTGCTGTGCGGGGCGCAGTGGTACGGTACTGACAGTTCTTTACACCAGAGCAAGAGTGCGGCAGCTGAGCACGGATTTTAAAGCAAGTTTGGCTGAACAGAGGTTTAAATCGGAGGTTAGTCTTGCTGAACTCTAAATGTTTCGTAGTCTTCTGGGATGGTGTCTGAGGAGGAGGAGATTGAAGGAAATATAGATTGTAAGTAGAACCAGAAATAAAAAAAATAGGCTAAGCCGCTGCGTGACATCCCGTCAGAGCGGGGTGTGTGGGCCAGCCAAGAACAAATTAACATCTTGAAAGGAAAATGGTAAAAATGTCTGGATTCGCCTTCCAAAACGAACTCACCGTTGCAGCGATAACGCAGGTTCGACCAAATGATGTTCTCCTGGGAGAAGCAGAAGACTCCCAGGCGTCCCCCTCGCATGGTCGTGTCGAGGACAACTCCCGTGTCTGCTACGACCTCAGGGCCTTCGTAGAATCGAGCTCTGGAAGAGAAGAAGCGAGCGTAGGACATGAGCGTGAGGCTGAGAGACCCTCGTAGGAACCATTCCCGGGATACTCGCCCTCCTCTTCGCCACGGGACGGCCCTCGAGATGCTGCTTCTGTGTGTTCAGGGTCGGCTCAGCCCTGTGGAGGAGATGGGGCCCCTCACCTGATGTAGCCCACTTGAGGGCGATGCTGCAGGAACCAGCGGTAAGACGTCTTGTCCTTCCAGCCGGAATTCCGAGGGTCTTTCCACAGCAGCTTCACCTGGTCTGTGGTGTCGCCCGTGTGCCACAGAGAGTTGCGGAGATACTCGCCTGGGCCTGTTTTAGACTTCACTGCCTAACAGAGAAATGAGATGGGGGAAAGTGTGAGGATAAAGGACTGCTGGACCGGAGCTGCGTGCGCCCAAGCAGCACAGCAAAGAAAAAGGCAAAAATCTGCTGCTGAATTTTTTTTCAATGGCAGCTTTACCTTCAGTTGGATTCCAGGTTCTGCTACTGCTCGGAAGGGGTTTGCCTGCCAGTATGTCTGTTCCATCTGCTTCCACATGACCACGTAAAAGCTGGAACTGTCCTGGTAGCCAAATATGAAGCCGGCGTAATCGTCGTCTGTGGCAGTGTTGACGTGGAAGGTGCCCTCGAAGTCCACGCCATTGAATGCCGTGTAACCTGTAATTGGCAGGAAAACAAATACTCTGTATTCCCAGACAAAACGCAGATCCATTTCCTTCCACATTCAGATGGGGGAAGTGGACTTTGTTAAGCCAAATCTGAAGGCTCTGCCTACTACAGAAAAATATTTTCCCAGGAGGTGGATGGAATCATTAAGTAGTGTCTGAAATACTTGTGGAAGCTGCACGGAGACGTTCACAGTTAACGAGCAATAGTTTTTCCAATAAGACAAAAATAAGTGTGTGCCTCACCTACAGCCAGGCCTGGATCACTGTTCATAGTCTGGACGATTTCCATGCCCTGAGAAAGAGGGATGTTGACTCGTTAGTGTAGCCCTAAATTAACTTTACTCCTTACGTGATCGGGGGGGGTACACCAGGGTGAGATGCTGTTGAAGAGCCCCGACAAGCCTGCAGAGTTCTTTCAGGCAAAGGGCAGCCCCTCTGGCACAGGCTCTTCCCCCCGCTCCGGAGCAGTCTCCTACCTGGTTGAGGACAATCCAGTTGGGGTCAATCTGCGCGTCACCCTCCGGGTCCAGGACAACTGTCTGGAAAGCCCTGAAGTCCGTTAGTGTCACTTCGGCGTTCTCTGGGCACACGTCAATTCTGTCAATCACCATGTCTCTGTCAAAGTCATCTTCGCAAAGGTTTCCCACGCCGTCCCCTGAAGAGAAGGAGTAACAAGTTTTCATTCATTTCTCCTGCCCCTTACCTGGGTGTTACTTGGCCAGCTTTCGGCTAGCACAAAGGTAGCCACGTCCCTGCAGGGTCAAGGGGTGTTCAGAGCACTGCTACACTCTAAGTCAGCTGCAAAGAAACCATTAGGCTTCTCCTGTTTGTTGAGGTGGAGGAACACCTCAATTTTTATCTGCTTCTGGAAGATAACTTTCCCCAGCTCTGATCCTGCTGTCAGGGTTATCTGAGGTCCGAGAACCACGCAGGACTGTCTCACACAGCGCTGTTCTTTCCTGTCTATCTCTCGAGGTCCAACCCCGGGGCGTTGGTCTCCGGGAGCAGCAGCTGCCCGGGCAGGGCTGATGTGCCCCCGTTCCTCTCACCATCTGAGTCTTCTTGGCCAGGGTTAGGGACAAGCCGGCAGTTGTCGGGGCCTGGAGGTTTCTCATCTGGAATCCCATCATCATCGTCGTCATCATCACACTCGTCTCCCAGCCCGTCGTTGTCTGTGTCCACCTGGGAGCTGTTGGGCACCGACGGGCAGTTGTCCCGGGTATCTTGGTGGCCATCCCCGTCACTGGTGGGGAAAAGGACAGGTAAAGCTTATCCGCTGATGTGTGCTCTTCAGATAAACATGCAGCACCTTTCTGGGAGCTGAGAACAGCACAAGTTGGTGATTTTAGCCTTGTGAAGTCTTAAGCTGTTCCTTACACGAGCGATAGATCAGAAATATTCCTGCTGTGGTCTGTGAACAACCTGTGAGTGGTGGCTGACGCCGAGCACACCTGCTGTGGGCGAGCTTCAACCACCAGCCTTTGGGCCTGGGTTTTTTGGGGCAAATTTTTTTGAGGTCCGAGGAAAACTCCACTTCCCTTAACCTCTGTCTGTTTATCGGCTGAGGTCGAGCCCTGTTGTCACAGAATTGCCAACACATGCCTTTCCCCCCTCCATCCCCAAGAGTTCATGCAACCTAAGTGAAATTTTTGCAGCAAGCTCTCACCTGTCCTGGTTGGTGTCACAGACATCTCCCACTAGATCATGATCGGTATCTTTCTAGTAAAATAAAGCAATAATAATTTAAACTTTCCATAGGTCAAGAGGAGGATTAGGCAATAAAGAGAACAAAGGCGTTAGCCTCAGTGCCACGGTTATTCTGACTGCAAACAGCTGACACCAGTGGGAGAGTCCCTTCTGCAGGATTTACGGGTTGCTCTGAATTCAAGCAGGGCTCTTTCTAAACGTAGGTGAGTAGGGCAGGACGAGAGAAAGCCAGAATTCAGCGCTTCCTCTCTGACTTTTGATTTCAAGGGGCTGTACTTTATTCTGCAGCACGGCAGCTAAAATTTCCAAGTGGTAACATCGGGGAGTTACCAGGCACACACACACACACACCTCGGGCAGGTGACACCTGTCTTGAGTGAGAGAAACGAACCCGTAAGGTGGCAAAACTTGCTCACCTGGTCTGGGTTGCTGATTGTTGGGCAGCTGTCACACACATCTCCTACTCCGTCACCATCACTATCTTTTTGATCAGGGTTAGGAACTCTTCTGCAGTTGTCCACAGTGTTCCTGATCCCTGTAAAACACAAAGTGGACCCATCAAGGAGACGGGGTGATTAAGCTCTACGCAGCAAGGTCTCTTTTGGATGGGAGAGATGGCAAAAATCTAGGACAGCTGAATTCATGTAAAAACAATTTCAATTTTTGTGTCCGTTTTGCACACTTCTAAGTTACGTCCTAGCGGCCATGGAGGGTAGAGATCAGCACCAACTGAGCTTAAATACTGCAGGCTGCATCGCCCTGGATGTCTGAGCTTGTTACTGCACGTGAGCCTGAGAGGAAACGTCCTTAACTGTGCTCCTTAGAGAAAGCTACAGAACAGAAGAACATGGCTCCGACCTGGCACCGTACCTGTGCAGGAGGGAGGGGCCAGGAGGGTGAAGATGAAGCTGTCTGCAGTTCCCTGAACTGTGACAGAGTCTTTTTTCCTCTAAAGTAGACGTCTATACAGTTATAAGTCCCGGTTAATCTTGGCTGTTTGACACGGAAGATTTAGGCAGTGTCTTTTCAAGGCCTGAGACAGGACAGGACCAGTCTAATTGGCAGCCTGTGTGACTTCACTTCCCCCTTCTCTCCACCAGCAGATCATGGCAGCAGGGAGCTACTTGGCAGGATGCAGCCAGACCCAAACAGCACTAGATGCACTGGAAATACTCTGTAAATAAACACGTATGTCCCAGGCCAGCACCAGTTGTGATTTCTGGCTTTTGAAAGCAGGCTTTGTGCAAATACAGCATCATTAGTGCACAGACTGTTTCTAAAGCCAGGCAGTTTTGGGTTTTTTTCCCCCAGAAGACAGCCCTGACACACACTGCCTTGAGCCAGAAGCTGCTAATGACTTGGATATTCCTGTAGTTCTTCATAAGCTTAAACTGCAGCACAAAGCAGTGTCCTTGTCTGGTCTGAGATCAGTTTGCACGGTGCATCTTTCTTCATTAAGTCCGACACAGGTTTGATGTGATTGTGCACAATAAGAGTGCTACTAAAAGATTGTCAGCACCATCCTGAAGACAGATCTTTAAACCCTGCAGGAGCTGAACTGTGAAGGATGTTGGCTTGGCTGTTGGCATCTTAGGAACTGAGCTGTGCTTCAGCCCATCAGAAATTCACACAGAATCCTCTTGGTTGGAAAAGACCTTGAAGATCCTCCAGTCCAACCGTTAACCCAGCACTGACCCTTCCCAACTCCCCCAGATCCCTCAGCGCTGGGTCAGCCCGACTCTTCAACCCCTCCAGGGATCCCGGGGACTCCCCCCCTGCCCTGGGCAGCCCATTCCAACGCCCAACAGCCCCTTCTGCACAGAAATCCTTCCTCAGAGCCAGCCTGACCCTGCCCTGGGCAGCTTGAGGCCATTCCCTCTTGTCTTATCACTTGTTACTTTGTCAAAGAGACTCAGTTCATTCTCCTCTCGTAGAGCTCAAGCCTCGGAAGGCCAGCACCTGCCCTGAGGATCTCCAGCTGCCTGCTCCACGGCGTTCTGGTTTAGGGCAATACATATGCACCTTGCTGAGGATGCTCTCCAGCTGCTCTTACCATCTCCATCCATGTCATCGTCACACTCGTCTCCCTTCCCGTCGCCGTCAATGTCCCGTTGGTCGTTGTTCTTCACTTGGCGACAGTTGTCGCAGGCGTCGCCGAAGTTGTCCTTGTCCGTGTTGCGCTGGTCTGCGTTGCGCGTGTATACGCAGTTGTCCTGCGGGAGAGGGGGTCTGGCTGAGGTGAAACTTTGGCACTGAGCATGTTACTGAGGAGTAACAAAGACAAAAGCTCTGAGGTATGCGACCAGCTGCTCTGAGAAGCCCAGCAGCCGATCTGCAGCCAGGCTTGGTTTCCTCTATTCAGCCTCATCGCTGCCTGTTCAGGGAATACCAGTAGCACCTGAAAAATCTCTCCAAGCAGTGCTTGGCTGAGTGAGAGAGAGAGACTCCCCAGCTCTCAGGGGACCACGACTTGTGAAGTCCCTTCAGTGCCACAACGTGCTCCCCTGCCTGCTTGTTTTATGCTTGAGACCATCCAGACTAAAAGGAAACATCGCATGCTGTGACCTGCAGGTTCTCTAAATTCACATTAAAAGTGCGAGCAGTTGCTTTGCAGTACGTTTGGGTAAGGCAGAGCTTAAGCATTAGAATTCAAACCTCAGTATTTAATATCCCATCTCCATCAGCATCGTCATCACACGCATCTCCAATTCCATCCCTGTCTGCATCCTCCTGGCCAGAGTTGGGGACGGTCATGCAGTTATCCTGAAAGAAAAACAACAAAGGGCCTGCTAGCAAGCTGTGCGTGTCCTTTAGCCAGAGTTGGGAAGGTTGGGCAGGGGCTCACCAGCACCCAAGCCCTGCCCTCAAATCAGAACCACCCAGTTCTGCTTAGATGTTCCTCTGACACGCAGTTTGCAGCGAAACATGAGAGAACTGTGTCTTACCTTGCGGCACTTTTTGTCAGAGCAGCGCTGCTTCTCATCAGGGACTCCATCAATGTCCGTGTCCTTCCCACAGACGTAGCCGTTCCCTGCCCACCCCACGAGGCACTGGAAGACAGCAGATAAACAAAATGAGGCCGCCAGTGAGTCCCCTGATGGCTGCATGCCTCCGAAATGGAAAGCTTTACATGAGAACCAGCACAAAACCTCAGAAATCCGGGTACGCAAGGCTCTACAGGAGAAGCGTTGTCTGGAAGAAACAGTGATGCTGTAAACAGCGTTTTAAATAGCTCAGGTACAGGCTCTCTGCTTGTTCCTGCGATTATGAAGACGGCTGCGGCAGCAGCGAAACGTCTTGGCGGCAGCAGGTGCTTCTCCCTGCTCAGCTGTGTGTAATGTTCCATGGCTGCGTGCTTCAGGCACAGAATACCCCAGACAAGCATCAGTGGCTCGGAGGTGCCAGGAGCAGGCCACGTCTCCGAGAGCACCGGGAGGGATCCTGCCCGCGCTGAGGTGTTCGTGGGGAGCGGGGCTGAGCCGGGAAGGCAGGATCTCCAGGAGAGGGCAGTGGCAGACCCCGGAGAGCAAGCCCAGAGCAGAGTCACAGAATCCTCTCGGTTGGAAAAGACCTTGAAGTCCTTCAGTCCAACCTTTAACCTAAGCCTGCCTGTTCTCAACTCCACCAGATCCCTCAGCGCTGGGGTCAACCCGACTTGTGACGGAAACCGGAGCGAGCAGCGCCCAGGCCGGGGGAGCGTTGGCCCTTACCACGCAGGAGAGGGACCCGTCGCGCTCCACCACGCACTGGGCCTTCTCGTGGCAGGGGCTGATCTCGCCGTTGGGGCAGCGTCTCACCGACTGGCTCTTGCAGCCACTGACTTGGTCCCCAACAAAGCCGGGTTTACAAGCTCCGCACTTGTAGGATCCCTGCAAGAAAAAGGGAATTAACTCTCACGTGAGGCCTGGGAAAGCTTTGCGATAACCCGCCCCAGCTAACAGAGGCCCCAGGGCCCGGGAAAGAGAGAGCCCCAGGAGGCTTTCGGGTAACATTTACCCGTGTATTGATGCAGATCGAGTTTGGGACACAATTCCTGGCAGCACCCGTCTCGCATTCATTGATGTCAGTGCAAACCTGCCCAGGAAGAACAAAACAGACGAATTAGGGCATCACTAGATGCAGAAACAAAGCCCCTGACGCACCTTTCTAGGACCCACAGCGCAAAGTTTTCCTTCAGACGAGTTTGAGCCAGCTCCCAGCAATACCCCTGACCCCAGACAAGCCGTTCACCCTCTGCAGAGTCACCAGAGATTTTAGCCTGGCAAAATAGCTTAGCTCTGAGCTGAGCTGTCAGAGTATCTCCTTACTGTGAAAGGATAGAAGAGAGTCCATGGAGCAGGAAGGTCAAAGACTGTGTCCTGTGACCAGCTAGCAGCTCTCTAAATAACACAAGCCACATGCCATTCCTGCTCTTGGCAATACATTCTCACAAAGCGTACTAAGCCTAGGTGGTGGGTTGGGTTTTTTTTTTTTTTACTTTAATATGTCTATAGCTGTCAGGGAAGGGGAGGGGGCAGTAGCTGCATCAACTCTTCTGTGTCCTAGCATGAAGGATTCCCCAGCTGCAAAGGTGTCAGATATAACATTCTGTCCAGCACAAATTCAGCCGAGGTAGGGTCTGGGGGTGGAGGTTGCTTTGTTGCTGAAGTGTTAGGACGTCCTTGGCAGGCGTCCCCTCTCACTGCATCAGGCTTCCCACCAATACAACGCAGTCATCCTGTATCCTCACGCCCATTTCTTTGAGGGATCCAACACTTTTGAACGATAATTAGAGAGGGGAGAGAGTTCATGGCTTCTGAAGGAGACAGAAACGTTTCGGAGCCTTACCTGTTTGTTGGCCCTGGCATAAGCTAGTCCAACCCCTTCGACGGCTTGCCCAGTGAAGCCGGGAGGGCAGGGATCACAGCGGAAGCCCGGGACGGTGTTAATGCACTGGACCTTGGGGAAGCAGGGGTTTGCGTTGCACTGTAAACACAAAGGAGGAGGTGCAGAACTGTGAGGCAGGCACGCTCGAGGCCAGCTGTGAAGGCAGCTCTCAAAGCAAGCCTTGCTGGGTGAGCTCCAGCTATTGTACTTTTCTCTTGAAAGAATAAACCAAAAAATGCATAGAAGTTCCTGGCTTCCCTTGCAAGTGGAAAATGCAGCTGCCCCATCTCAGTTGTTCTCCCAAGTTCTTATATATGCAGACAAGTAAAACAAATCGACTTTCAGGACTAATTCTTCTTAGGTGACATCAATTGCCCAGGCAAAGACCTGGCTTTACTTCACACTTTCCTTCCTGGCAGTCTCTGAATCCAGAGAACTGGATAATTTCTTACTCTGGTTTTGAAAGACAAGAACAGTTGTTTGTGTATGACTCTGGGAAGCAACTGTCTTCCCAAAGTTGCTGTTAATGCTTGTTTATTTTCTCCACCACTATTATTTTCGCTGCGTTCTTATGCTCTGTACTGGCAGATGCATTAAGTTACTACAGTGGTTCCCACATTTTGGTGACTAACAGATTATCGTCAAGCTCAAAAATCTCTCCTCATCCCCTGTAACTTCAGCAGGTTTTTAAACTGAAAGGCTATAGAGGTGCCGTGGTTTGCAAGACGCTTGGAGCTGCTTGGTGGGCTCATCAGTGAGCACAGGACCGTGGCTTGGGAACCACGGAACTAAGGAGTCTTATGGACACACAGAATTAATGGCTGAGTAAAGCTGCGGATACAGACAGAGAGCGGACTTGGGGGGATGCCACACTTCCTAAAAAATTATAAAATAAACAGTATCTGTCTAGCAAGGTTTGATTTAAAGGCAGAAGTAAAGCAATACGAGTAGTGTGGTAAGATTTATTGCATAAAGGACTGTTGAGGAAGCATTTGATTCTATTCCACACATAATAAATCTTATCTCTAACAACTCATCAACCATTAGCTCGAAAGATTGTAAGACCAAAAGGGACCATTCTGGTCTTCCAAACTCACCTTCCTGTGTGGTACAAACCAAAAGATTTATTTTGTTTGAGCCTATGTATCTTTTAGAAAGAAATGTCTAACTAAACTGGATATAAACCCAACATGGAACAGAGCTTAAGGGCGGCTGAGATACAGACTTTCCCTCCAGTGAAATGATGTTTCTGTTGAACTTCAGCTCCTAGGGGAATTGCAAGACTTTTCTTTATGACCACAAGACAAACCTGCAATACTCTAAGAGAAGCGAGCCACTTTTATAACTTCCAGCCTCTCCTACTTGTTTTTTACCTCATTGATATCTGTGCAGTGGGACCCGTTGCCTGAATAGCCTGGGGGACAGGGGCCGCAGCGGAAGCCGGTGCTGGTCTCGGTGCAGGCCACTCCAGGGAAGCAGGAGTTTGGGAGGCATCTGTTAAACTGTGTGACGGTGATGACAGGGCCTGTCACCTCGGGGTGCATGCCTAGAGGACAAGAGGAACAGTAAGAACAAAGCTGTAGCTGCCAGAGGCTATCATCAGGTGGCCCCGTTGTCTCAGAGGATCTCGGTGTGCTTCACACACAGGACATTTCCTCACATCTTGTCTGAGGGTTGAGTTGGAGCTCTGTGTTGTAAAGGGAGAAAAATGAAGCCAGAAGCAGCAGTCTGACAGATTTCTGAGTCAGAGCAGACAGAAAATAATTAAGAAACCCCACAAGTCTTAGCTCCCAGTCCAACACTCTTGTCGTGCCACCTTCCTCGCTGGTGTAATGCCCTTGCTTTTGGAGTGCCAGAGAGATCAGTTCTCTCCCTGCTTCCTCCACAACTACACCTCACTGCTGGTATGGACTTGGCTAAAGCAGAACCCAGGCTTAAATCTGGGAAGCGTTGCGGAAGGCTGTCAGCCAAAATCTCTGCTGCAGAAGGCAGGAATGTTAAGCGGGTCAGCTTGATCTGCAGCAGAAATACACTCACGTCAGGCTCACGGAGGGCTCTCAGGCCATGAAGTTACTCATAACATGCTACCTGTTATCTCCATAGGGCTAGGAAACCTCCCTTCATCCTGGCATCTGTCACTCGGACAGTCATCCGGAATACAGCAATATGGTCTATCGATGAAGTACTGTGTGTGATGTGTAAGAAATTCTAACCCATAGAAAATGCTACTGCAGCTCTATTCAGAAACACTGAACACACCAAGCCTGTCCCCGCACTGCTGCACGCCTGCCTCCCTTATGGTTTTAGGCCAAGTGCCAGGTTTTTGTCCTTATCCTCATGACCTGACCCACAGCACAAGAAAACTTGCAAAATTAATCTCTATGGGAGACAGAACTTTACTGAAGGTCAATTCAAGACTGTGGATAAACCTTCCCAGAATCTAGAATTGTCACATCTCCCACACTCACTACTCTAAGTGACAAGGACACTTTTTGCTCCCGTTTCCTCCGGCTTAAAAGCCCAACACAGAAAACCTGAAAAAAAAACCCCAAACCAAAACAAAAAACAATGGTCTACCACCACCAGCAGCAAAATCTTCACTAAAAACAAGGCCTCCTCTCTTCATGCTTCTCTTTCTGTGAAATAATGAGAAGCACACGACTGCTGTGAATCACGTTGTTCAATGCATGACTAAAAGAGGCTCAGATTCTACAGTAAGGAGTGCAGGAGAAGAACGCATATAAAGCAGAATAGCAAGTGGGGAAGGCAGAAATCAAATAACAGAGAGAAAGTTCAGGACAGTTTTACGAGCAAATTATTAAAACAATTGCTGTGGATGAATGCATTTCTGTACTGCAGGTCCCAGAAGCTTTGGCTAATCTCTTTTCCAGCAGAAGTACACAATCTCTCCAACTGCAGGAATGGTTATTGCTCCACCCTTGGAGTGTACTGGCAAATAGCAGAGCACCTCCAAGAACCATGCTTTCTGAAAGCCAGATGTACTGGACATAAGTTCCAGTCTAGAAAAAAAAAGCCACTTATTGGGGAAGCAAGATTTATATGGGAAAATGTTTGACCCCTGTGTCCTGAATCCTCTATAAACAACCTCTTAGCTTGGATGGTGGCAGCACTAGGGTGGGAGGAACAGCAGAGCGATGCCTCTTGGGGGTGATGTTCCTTTCCGCTTGCAGCTCAGGAGAAGCCAACTGTATCCCGGAGGATCCCAGTGCGCATTCCCAGGGCGTTGTGACACCGGCCAGGGGCTGGGCACGTAGGAGACGTGGTTGGGCAGCTTTCTGCTGCGGAATGCAGCTGCCCTGCGCGGCACGGCGCGGTACATCACAAAACCACTAACAAAGCTTGTTTTGGAAACAGTGGAGGGAAGTGAAGGCTGGGGTTTCACTGGAAGGAAAGAGGAGCTTTTCCAGGCTATTTCTGCACCCTGTGCCCAGGAAAGGGGCAATAGCTTCAGCTGAACCACGAGAACGGCGTGGAACACTGGCCCACGTCGTGGGGGAAAAAGAAGCATCACTAGGATTGAGTGTTACCTTGTGATACTCTGGGTAATGGTGAAACAAACTGTTTCCTCTGGGGAGATGGTCACAGGTGGCGTTTTACTACTTGTTTGGACACAAAGGTATGAAGGACTTGGAGGAGGCTGTTGAACCTAGGACTCAGCTCAGTAACTCACCACAGGCATCACACTCCATGACTGTATTCTTCAGGAATGTTATCTCCTTAATCTAGAAGAAAACAAGAACCACCATTTAGCCAAAGGCTGAGTTTTGCTGCCACACAACTAATAGCCCCACAGCCAGAAAACAGGGTGTCCCTGTGAGACTGCACAGTTACTTACAACCAAATTAACTCTTAGCCCAAAGTCCCTATGTTGCACTTTCTGGAAGCTGAGCTGGCTTGTGTTCCCTGCTGTAAGTCACTCCCTGCTGTAGTGTTTCTACAGGCTTAACTTGATAATACTATTCTATCACAGATGCAGGAAACACTTGACTTGAATACACAGAAGCAAGTACCATAGAGCAATAGAAATCGACTTTATTTGGGTCTTCTACCCTAGAAGATGCTGAACTAGCAGTCCTAGAGAGATCTGCTTTATCTGCAGTCCAGACACTGCACAAGTCAAGTCAGGAGGACGTTCCCCTGTGAGCAACTTTTGTAGCTACACGAATAATCTCTGACATTGCTTATGCCATTCTTTGGCCCTGATGCCCTTGCCATGAGGATATTTAGAATCTGTTCATGAAAGCTCCTCCCTCCGGACTTCCTCGGTCTCCTCTAGGCTCTTATTCCTTCACGCTTGCTTCAGTAAAGAGATCATCTGTAGCATCAGCAGTGCAAAGACACGGTTCCTTTAGTGAAGAATGGAATATGGGACAGGCACAAGCTAACGTTTATGTGACTCCCCAGCATCTTAGAGAGCAATCCTAGCGGGCTTCTTTCCTGCAAAAATCTTCCTGGCTATCTACAACTGATGCTCAGGACCACCCTTCCACACCCTGCGGACTTTATGTTTCTGCAATTAAAACATTTCACTTTCACAAAACCTTCTACTCCTGTCCCTCTGCCAGCTCCCAGGTATGAGAGCAAGCTTTCATTCTTCCTTCCCTCCAACATGGCCTGGGGTCATGTATTTTGAATAGTTAATGCAGAGAGAGATCTAACCCAAATCCCCAGAACAGGGCGGCAGAGAGCAGAGCAGAGAAGGAGCACTGCTAATGAATATTAGTGGTTCCTTTGTGCCAAGAATCTTTCAGCCTTTGGCTCAGGAGAGTAGATCTGGCCTTTTATTGTTGTGCCTTTTGCCATCCTTACTGCCAACATCCCAAGATGCTGAAAGTAAGTTTTAGAAAAAGCTTTGCACAGATTAAGAAATTATGAACTGCCACCTTGGCTCTCCAGTTGTAGATGCAAGTTTCTCTTCTGAGGAAGAGCTGTCTTGAAAGCACTGTAAAAAAAAAAAAAAAAAGTAGGTGGCAAAAGCAAGAAAAAGAACAAATAGAAAACCTGTATGGAGAAACAGTGCTAAGCTGGATGGGAACACTGGAAATCATTGCTCGAGGCTGCCAGGAACCATGTCTGACCTGATTCCTAGTAAACACTGGGTATTTATGCAGTAGCCTGAAATGTGAGAGTAACTCAATGCAACAGATGTTTTTGCAGATTAGAGGCCGCCCAGTTTGCCCTGGCACAGGGACCCGTCTGCCGTTCCAATTACCTGGCAGGCAGAGGCTGCTGCCCTCAGCTCCCAGAGTGGAGCAGGGGAGAATGGAACCTTTTTCTATACTGAAAAAGAGAGCTGACCAGACAAACCACCATCTCCTCGTTAAAAAGGGAAAGGATCTAAGCACCCCAGAAGTTCCACATTCCCTAAGAAACTACCAGAGCCAGAAAGGTTTAGGATTAAAACAACAAGAGGGAAGAGTGAATACAGAGCTTGTTTGGACTCCATGACTTCCCTTTCCAGGACCCTAATAGATGGCTGAAAGGTTCCCTCCATCTTCCAGGTTTGGACTCTCTACTGATTTCATAAGCCCACAAAACCCAAGGAAAAAGTCAGTCGCTTTTCCAGTGAAATATATACCCACTGTGTGTGCGTGTCTTTTTCTTAAGAGCTGTTTCTCCATGTACGCTGGGTTTTTTTTTTTTTCAGCAGACACGGTTCTAAGCAGCGGAATTTGGAATTCAGAGGAATCCACTTTATTTCAGATTTACAGATCTTGCCGTGAGAACACCCCTGTGGTTTGCAGCACAATAATTCTATTGCTCATTTCACTTACCGCGGGAAGCAGCCCCCCAGTTCCAGACTGGCCCAATCCTCGGCACATGAGGCAGAGGGTTCAGAGATCTCTCTTGGGCAGCGTTTAAGGAACTAGATCTCTTTCTCCCTTACCTGCTGTTTCAACAAGTCTCGAACTTCCATTAGCACACGGTTAGTTTCTCTCATCTCTTCCAGCATTTCTGGCCCAACTTCACCTCCTAAAAAACCCCAGAGTGGGTGAGAAAAACACAGAAGAGCCATTAGCAGTACAAACTGATAAACTGAACTTAATCTTAAAGATACAGAGCCCTCCACACCAGTCTCTGCCAGTTCCTAACTAGAAGCTTGCTGGAGTTCAGAGAGACTTGCCCATAGGGTGGAATTATCTGCGGGCAGGGCAGACAGTGATAATCAGCCATGCCTGTCGGGTAGGTAACAGTTACCCCTCAGCAAACAAATTGCCCTGGCAGGCTGGCAGTTGTGGTAGCTGTTAATCTGGCGTGGTTGCTGCAGTTCACACATAGGAAGGTTTTGCTGCCAAAAGAAGCAAATTAATAATTCAGTGCCGTGGAAGCTGCTATGATGGGCACCACTAAAGGAAGGCTTTTTTTGCTGAGTCTATCCCGAATGTGCTGCCAAGCACTGAACGTGGAAAACCGGCACATCAGCCGTTGCCTCGCCTGTTCTCAAGGTGCCGAGTGTTTTCTTGCTGGAGACGGGTTCTTTCTGGGTAGCAGCAGTTTCAAATTGCCATGTAGTGGCTTGGGGACACAAAGGATCCATCTGCTCGTCCACGCAACACTGCAAAATCCTGTTTCAACTATGCTGAGTAGAGGACACAGATAATTTCACAAGTTCATCTAGGGCACGTTAACATCACTTCTCCCTCCCATCTGCTACATTCTAGACTCGCCTAGTTCTTTGAGCTAAAAATCCAGTCTAAACTCCAGCTTTGCTCAAGAAGAAAGAATGGAAGCAGCTCCCTGTTTCTAGAATTATGTAAGTTTTAAGAAAATTTGAGCCACTTAAAGTTCAACTCTGGTGTTCTCCTGACTGCCATGAGAAAGTACAACCTCATTTCTCTATTTTTTTCTAGATTAACTGATTCCCCTAACAGTCTACAGTGTAAGCAAACCTTTATGAAAAGAGAAATAGCAGGATCTTCTCCAAACAGCACTGTGTGTTTTGGGAGAAAATGAGCTGGAGTTAGGGGTCTGCCTCCTTGAGCGTGAGGAATGTGCCAGTACCAAAGGCAGGATGTGAGCCCGTGCTGCTCAGCACAACAACTTCAGCATTTTCATGTGAAAAATGAGCCTGAAAGCCTCACGGGTCTTCCGACACCGAACCAAGAGGACTGTACGATTATCTGTAACCCCTCCAATACATTCTGGTTTGGGAACTCGATTCAAAGTACCACAAACGTGTCATTCTAGAATTAAACTGACGTTTTTTTTTTTTTTTTTTTTTTTTGAAAACAAGGAGCTTGCACATAATTTCTAACTTCAAACAGAGGTTTTGAATAAGCTCTGCATGAAGGCGTCAGGCAGCTTCCGTTATTCCTGGGAATAATTTTCCATCCCTAGTAGCAAGCTGTAATTTAAAATAAAAATTTGAGGGTTTTTTAATACTCAAATTCACAGTAATTATTCAGCTACGCAGGAGTGATTTCCAAAGGGAATCTCTGCACTTGCAGACATTTCCATCACTCTGCATCCTTCCCCATGGACTCATTCTGTCTCTACAACACACACCTGAATGTCTGGTTCACAGCCTGAGTCTGAAGGATCCAACAGATCCTCTTGGAGGTGGAAGATTCCCTGAACGGGCTGTTCAGAGAAGTGGAACTTTTGTTCTTAGCATGGCTACGTTCCTAGAAGTCAGGGCTTCCCTGGGCTCTGTGCACAAGCAGAGAGAATATCCAAGGATCCTGGCTATAGGACATTCTGTATGATCTGTTTTTTTTAACTTAAATCAGATGCAAAATGCAGATCAATAGAAAGTGTCTCTTTACAAGGTCATGACGAAACACAACAAAATTTTCAGTTGCCCTTTTCTTAAAAAACTTCACTACTCAGGAGGGGAACTGGGGAAAAATCTAAGACCAAACATTTACACAGTTAAGCTTCGAGTTTCATATGAAACTACAAAAATCCCTGAACATTGCTTTTAGGATTCAGCAGATGCAGTTGAAATGTTAACCTTCTTCCTCATTCCCATCTGCAAAACAAAATTCTCATAGGAATCTAGAAAGCATACGAGACCAGAACATACAGAGAGAATTAAAATGACTTACCTGCTCTTCTCTGCTGACATGATGAAAAAGGACAAGAGAGGCAGAGGAGAAAAACAAACGCTAGAGCTGAAATCATCTTCGAATCTCCAGGCAGTGTGGACGTATGGGCTTCTCTCGCAATGAATTTTTAACCTGCAGGTTTGCCTCTGCTCCCCATTAGTGTCTGTGGTTTGCTATTTATGAAGTTGCATTCCTTCCTCTGAAGTTCTTATTCTCTGATGCTGGACGAGGGGTGGACGTCATTTCTGGCTGCTAGTCCACAGAGAACGTTACAAAAGTAAACAATATGAGAAACTCATCAGGAGAGTAGTTTATTTTTTTTTTTTTTTTTTTTTAGACTAGCTTGTACCAAAATAGGTCAGAAAATTCCAGAATTAAATGGATTCTTTTTGGATTGGGGTTTTATTTCTTCTTCATGGACACAGGATAGACGGATGATTCATAGCCATAACCCTCACAGATTTTCCTTCTAAAACTGCTCGCAAGATCACAAAAGCTATGAGACATCTGGACTTCACTAGTTTCAGAAAAGACTCTTTAAACTCCCAAAAGACAGTTTCGCCACTCACACTTGGGGTAGAACTATTGAATCATCTTCCAATTCCAAAGGGGAGCTGTCACATCCTATTTTGGAGAGGGATTGGGCAAATGTACGAGAGGCTGATGTTCCCCCCCACGCAGGCCTGTCTAAAGGAAGGATGCAGTGCAGAAGTGACAGCATGAAAGGAAGGTCGACTTTGCTGTTTCTTGTCTGTGAAGGAATGAGTGTCAGTCCAGCATTCTCCATCAGTCAGTCTCAATCCAACACTTTCCATCAGAAGACACAGAGAGGATTGAGAACGCCACCTAGACCAGCCAAAGGAAACCGGCCCAAAGAAAACCTTAAAGCTGCCACCTTGCCTGTTAAACTATGACCTGTAAGAAGTTTAGCGCGAAGACCAGCGAAATTCTTGATCGCACATTCTGACCGTTTGGTTGTCAAATCTGTCTGAATGTCGATCATACAGTTCCCCTGGGGACACAGACAGGAAAGCCCCAGGAAACAGTAGCTCAGTCTTTAAAATGTTACAGCAGCAGGATCCTTGGATATTTACATAAAGATTTATTTATTTATTTATTTTTCTCATTTTGAGCTCAGACCTCCCATGTTCAGGAAAAAACTTGCCATCCTTGTGGCTGTGCACAATTCTTGGAGGTAACTGCGTGCAGTCTGGCAGGCACTGGTGAGCATGCATGTTCACTAATAAATATTATTATTTTTATATTACAGGAATGCTGCAGCAGACAGATTACACGTTTTCTTGCACCAAGCAAACCTAGATGCAAAATAAGGTTAATTTGCATGTGTTACCTAGCTGGCATTTGCACCATTCTGCTTGTCTGGCACACATGCCATCTTGTGTTACACACAGCAAGTCACTTTTTGCTGTCAAGCCACAGGTAAATCAGCTTTGAGGGTTTGATGCTTGTGGTAAGCAAAAGTGGTTTAGAAGGAACTCAGGAAAACTGAGTTTCCCAAGTTTTAGCATTTCTGGGTCCTTCTGGGCAAATCAAAACCATGGCAACAGATTATTAAAGATAAAATATATTAGTTTTCCTAGCGATGTTCTGGGAAATATTTACAATTTTTATTTTATAGCAACAAATGGGGAGTGAATGAAAAATGCCCCGTCACACATCCCGCAGGGAGCAAGTTTTTCACCAGAAACAGGGATAGTTGATGTCTATCCAGCTTATGTTTTTGAAGGTGCTGTTGTCAAGAGGTGAGAGAGGCATCCAGACCTTGCAGGCTGCTCAGTCCAGGGCCCTGCTGGTGGCAAGCAAGGAGGCCCATTAGTACCTGTGATGATAGTGGAGAGTTTCAAGGGAAAAGCACATTACTTCAACAGAAGCCTCATGGGTCATTAATAAAGGAAGATTCTTGCCAACTATTCAGAAAAAAAAATCTGTTTTCTTCAAGTTGGGAGAAGTCATAAAACTCCAGAAAGAAAAGATGTAACTCACATGGAATGAAGAATGGACAAGGGTCACTTGTGAGGTCACCACAGAAACAACTGACATCGGATTTGCTTCCTACGGAGAAATATACGTCCATGCAGAATGATGAGACCATCAAAATCCCAGTACTGCAAAAAAGACATTAAAAAAGGAACTATTCAATACAAGGCAAATAAAATATGTATGAGCAGTAACGATGTTTTCTGCTATCTAAAGCAAAGTATTACTCAATGATATTAGGACATTAAACCAAACCAACCCGCATTAAAAAAATAAAACCTTCAAGTCAGACACCTAATAAAACAGTTGTTTGAAAGTCCAGTATCCAGCTACCTGGAAACTTCTGTGTTTCTACGTTTTCAGGGGCCAAAAAGTTTTTGAGAAGAGACAGTAGGCTGACCAGTAACAGCTGTTTCTGAGACCACGTGAAATTTGCTTGTGAAACGATGGCAGCAAGGGACCAGTATTTGTATCTAGGAAGAGCTCTTGAAGACCGTCAAGAAGAGTCCTGCTTCCTCTGTACAAAGCTCAGCATTTTTCCAAACACGTTCAGCTGCCCAGAATCTCGTGCCCGTTTACAATCTAGAACCTGGTGACGACGCGTCCTGGTTTCAGCTGGGGTAGGGTTAATTTTCTTCCTAGTCAATACCGCGCTGTGTTATGGATTTAGCGTGGGAATAATGTTGATAACATGCTCGTGTTTTAGTTGTTGCTAAGTAGTGCTTATCCTGAACCAAGGATGTTTCAGTTTCCTGTGCTCTGCCAGCGAGCAGGCCTACCAGCAGCAGTGAGGGGGCATGGCCAGGGCAGCTCATCGAGACGAGCCCAAGGGCTATTCCATACCGTAGGATGTCATGACCAGTATATGAACTGGGGGGAGCTGGCTGGGATGGGCAGATGGCTGCTCAGGCAATGGTCAGAGGGTGGTGAGCAGTTGCGTTGTGCATCACTTGTCTTGGGGTTTATTCCTCTCACTTTTTGTTCATTGCTATTATTAATATATTTTATTATTGTTGTTATTATTACATTACATTTTATTTTAGTTGTTAAGCTGTTCTTATCTCAACTCTACTTTATTTATTTATTTATTTATTTATTTAATTCTCCTCCCTGTCCCACTGGGAGCGGGGAGGAGGGAGTGAGCAGCTGTGTGGTGCTTAGTTACTGACTGGAGTTAAACCACGATGCCACATTATAAGTAAAATTCACTGTATTTTCTAATATGTCTATTATTTAACATCTAAATTAACTCATTAAAACCATATTATAGAGAAATTAGATAATTTTTGTTGGTTTTACTATGGACTGAAGAAACTCGAATAACTGCCATTAAAAAGAAGAAATCTCCCAAGCTCCTGGAGTCACTGCAAAGGACTAAAAGGGAAGAGTGAGCCCCTCTCTTTTGAAGACTTTCTTGCATGGACAAGCTGCAAGTCACCGAAGTATTTAAAACATTCAGGGCTACCAGCAGCAAACCCGGAACTCTTCAAAGAAAAGAGAAAAAAAGAACTTGGGTAATGTGGAAGTACATCATCCTCTGTGTCCTCCTCTGCAAGAGAGTCACAAACAGTGGATTTATTAGTGGAGGCTGGAGCACTGTTACTGGTAAGTAACTTCGCAGTTCGCTGAGGTGTTACAGCACAAGAGGCAAGCTGTATGTACTTAGGAAGATGCAAGTTCTCAAGCTCCGCCAAGTCAGGGATGTTCACTGCTGAGAACTGACACTCATTTCCCTCTGCGATAATGGGCGTAGGACAGGATGGTGACGGAGCAGTGCTTACTGCTGCCCATCGCTCTCAGTGAAATGAACCAAAGCATATCAAATCTGCATTACGCCCATTTTAAAGGCCTGGACAAATAAGTCTTCTGCGTATTAAGGCAGCGATCGGTACGTCTTTACCTTCTTCTAGAAACCCAAAGCCGTTTCTTTTCAGTCTACAACAGTTTCTGGGAATCATTTCTGTGCACTGACAGTAGCAAAACAACCGTACAAATTAAAATGTAGTTAATTTCTTCAGAGCTTTCTTGAGTTGAGCAAGACACAGTGTCTCCACAAGGTGAGGTCATCCCTACCTTTATTTTCCTTGGACTCATTCTACACCTTTGAGGGCTAGAAATCCCTGCAAATCACTACTCAACGCAGCTTAAACACACAGGAGCAGATCAGAAAGTGTTTGATCGTGGCTGGTTATTTTTGGGTGCCTGTGCCTGTTTAAAAAGGATAAATTCAAAAGTAGCTGATATATCTGAACTTGTTAATATTATCTGATGGGGAAACATCTTCCGGATTTGTCAAGATCATTTTTTAAGCATTAGTGATTTAGATTAAAAAAAAAAAAAAAAAAGTGAGCAGCAGAGAGTGTTTATTTGGGCTTCAGTGTAAAAAGTGTTTTTGCACTCTGCGCAGTGCCAGGTTAGTTACACCTTTTTCCCTGACTGGAGTTGACATCACAAATTAAACCAGCACACAAACAAGCAACAAAAAGAAAAGCTCATACTAGTTTAAAGTTTAAATATTTTCCATCTCTGTGTTTTTAACTAATCTTTGCCAAGTGAAGGACAAAAGTCAGAAGGAAAAAGTTATTTTTCAGTCTTGTAAGGTCAAATTCTAAAAATAAGTGAAAAACATCTACACCCTCTGAAATTGTATGCTAAGTATTTTACAATGTTTCTTATACATTTATAAGAAACCAAATTATATAAAAGATGATCAGTAAGGATTTCAGAAAACATCTCCTCCTGTTCCTCCCAATACAGGATCAATATTCCCGATAGAACTCATCACTAAGTCTTCTCTACCCTGTTCTTAAACGCTTCCAGTGATGGAGACTCCACAGCCACCTCAGGAGCCTTCCATTGCTTTATCTTCCCACTGTTAGAAAATATTTCCGAGGGATGCTATTCAAGCCCATTGCTTCTTCTCGTATTCACCATGGACCCAAAGAGCAGGCTAGTCCTTCCTTTGAACAAGCACTATGTATTTGAAAACTTGCATCTCAATTCTAGGCTTTCGCACGAGCCTGCTGATGTCTGCAGCTGCCGGCATTGCAGGCTGTCAACAGTTAGTCAGCTCTAAGAGAAATCAAAGTCTTGAAGTCTCAACTAAATCTTAAATCCGTCCTGATTTTTGTAATTGTCACAATACATAAACTATGACTCAGAAGATACATCATCTATCCTGGTGAAGTGCCTGATTACAGATGAAGTCGAACGAATCTGACACATTTCACTCATGAGCAGATCAGCAAGCAGCCCAATCCATCAGAATTTTTTCAGCCCAAGCACAGTGGTTTTCAGCTTGTATTTATTCTGAATGCTATTGTCTAATATTTGCAAATTCCAAAGATACACAGTGTGAAAAGGGCTGGACACTGAAGTTTGAGGCACAGCCGCCAGCAGAACCTTCAGTCTTGTCTTACCTTCTGCTATGTGCTTCCAGACTAAACAAAAACCCGCTTTCAGAAGTTTGCAAAACATCATTTTACAGCTTGATTATGTACAAGTACTTACCAGTTGCTAAAACAAACCGGGATTCCTAAACGATCTACTTAGAGCTATTTGCAGTCTTGAGGTAACAAAGTTCAGGTATTAACTAAATAACGTAAAGAATAGCACCAGTGGTGCTTCTTTATGGAAAACAGATTCATTATTTGACATAAACACCTAGAGTGATGCACATATTACCCACAAAATCCATCAGTCAATAGGTGAGAACATCCCCATCCCCTCCCCGTACACCTCATTCATTGCAAGATGGAATAATCCATTCTAGGTTGTGGTTTGTCACATGTTTGAAGAGTTACAGTTTGCTGCAGTCTGGTTTATGTCTCTAAGGTTGAATTTCTTAGCAAAGCAAGGCACCGAAGGTCACAGAAAACCTTTTCTTAAGTAAGTACTTTTAATGTTTTTTTTTCATTTAATCAATGGCAAACTGCAGTGACGGAAAACCAAGCCTGCAAAAAGACAATAAACAGACATGGCTCCACTGTGCGCTACGCTAGATTTATCATTCGATCTTCTTGTTTTCTACCCTACTAATGGAATTTGACTAATGTCAGTAAAGCTGTTTACATGAGCTAAAAAAAAAAAAAAAGCTGGGCCACAACCCCTGGACACATTGTGACAGGGACATCTCCTGGGAGGAAGCTACTGCCCTCCACTGCAGAAAGCTCGGCCTTCCTTGTAGTAGGATGAGAGTTCCAGAAGGGTCGACTCTCCTGCTTACTCTTCTAATGTGATGACTTTCACACTTACTGCGTATGAATAGCTGACTTTCAAGGGAACTTCAGTTTTTCACCCTCAACGTTTTCCCAGAGTTCTGAATGCAACAAAACAAACACCGTAACGTTAGTGTACAAAAATAACTGCAAAATGGTTTCTGAACAAAGGCACAAAGATGCTTTCCAATGTTTGAGGGAGGAATCCCACAAAAAAAAAAGACATGATGAGCCGAGAACATATTCAAACCCTTTGTTTTGTCCTCAGCTCCTAACACCCAACCAGAAATAATAACCAGAACCAGTATGACCAGAGTTGGTGTTTTCCAATATTTTTGCTATTGAATAGCCAACACAACAGATGAAATTTAATAAGTAGAAGACATTTCTAAGCCATCAGACACATACCAAGAAATTGCCACCTTTATCACCTTCTTTTTCTTTCTTTTTTTTTTTTTTTTTAATTCAGTGGGAAAAGTGCTAGTCTAAAACTTTCCAAGTGTGTCATCAGGACAGATTCCCTGCACCTCTGGACCTGACCTAGGAATCTCCCAGTAAGAGCTGGAAGCAGCTCCTGTCCCACAAGGCTTTTTGTTTCTTGATCTCTCTAATGAGACTCCCAACAAGATAACCGTTTTGTAGGCAACCACGAGAGAGCTAATTGGTCTGATTCTTTATGGCCACATTACTCTTCTGAGGAAGCAAGACTCGTACTCTGCAGACGTGGAACTGAATCACTCAGAAGCTAAGCAGCTTGAGCTAGGTCGCACCATGCAAGTAAACTGAACCTGGAAGCCCAAAGCTCGTGCCAGCACTGAAATAACTAAACCGTCTTTCTTCTCTGAAGAAGGGGAATCTTCATTCACAAACATTGGCAGGGAAAAGATGCTAAAAAAAAATAAGCACATGGACATTCACCTAAAATAAGTGATACTACATATTGTCTGGGCAGCCTTACCACCACTGTAAGTGGCTGATCTTCCTGGAGGTGACATTCTGCCCACATGGGCTAAGAGAAAGACACAGGATGACGCAGGAACTCTGAGAAGCACCAGCAAAAAAAGCTGTATTTTTGCAAGAGAAGAGAATATCAAACAACTGCAGCCCTGGGACAAATAAAAAGTGTCTTAAGTGCACAGTAAGAACGCCGCAGTTCAGTTTCATCACAGAGGTGACACTGAACTTCCAATGCTCAGAGGGCAGCAGGAAGCATGAATGAGGCTAACCTTGGGTAGTCTAGGTTACTAGATTACTCGGTTACTAGTGGCTCCATCCAGGGAGTCTCCTCAGAACAGCTGGAAATGAGGCCAGTGACAGGACTGGTGACAAAGCCACGATACAGATCCAAGGACTATCCAGAGACAGGGCTACAAGATCACCCTGAACATTGTCCTTCATTTAAAACACGGTCCAGAACTGCCCAGTGACTTGCTGAGTTTTGATAATTTCATCTGTTGTCTCTAGAAAGGTCTCAGCATTGTCAAATGTTCCGCACCCCTGGGTCCCACACTGATAATCCTACCCCTTCCAAAATGCCTGAGCCATTGTGTCAACATAATCCTGTCTGAAGAGAACTGAGACACCTGGAACTAAAATGCTTTTTACAAAACTGAGGGCAGGAGGCCAATCAAAGGGCCCACAAATTTCATATTGGCCCTCAGTTTTGCTCTACCCCTCATTCGAGCCGGCCAGAGACACACTATGACAAATCAGAAGCCCAAGGGGCAAAAAGCAGTGGCATGTGCAGCTCGAGAAGAGCTGTCACCCATCCTGCCCTGCCTTCCAGCAGCTCGCTGTAACGAACCTTACAGACGGGGGTGTAAAATCCTGCCAGAGCTCCTTCTCCCCACCGCCACCCTGCTCAGAACCATTCCCCAGCACATGTCGCAATCACACACCCAGAAGGGTTGTTAAAACCTTACAGGAAACATCTCACATTTTTTCCTTTACTATTCATGCCATTTTCTATTAGGGACAATAAAGACTTCTAACACTGGATTAAGCTCATTTGCAACAATGAGCTACTATTGCTCCAGGAGCCAGCAGGAGCTCAGACTCATTGTAGGAACTGGGAATAATTAACTGAATTGTACTGGAAAAAAAGGAGAAGACTGAAGGCTGTTTTGATCAAGAGAGATGCAAACTGATGCCATGGTTTAGCCATCATGTCTCGCGGGGAATTATTATTGGGAGTATCATTAATGCTTGGAGTATGCAGGTTTTTTTTCGGTAAAACAGCTTTGGCTGTGGTGTCCCTTTTTGGATTTTGCTACTAAAAGACACCTCCCAGAGTCATAATGACAATAACACAGTTTTACTGATTGCTTTCACTCGTTGCTCAGTACGCACTAAGTCACTTCCCAAAACTCTTAGGGATGGCAAACCTTAAAAGCTTTTCAAAGCAGACTGGTTTTCCTTTTCCCCTGAATGATGTATATAATTCACCTCCATGGTCAAACTTCCTTATTGTGTCATCCAGGGGTCTTCAGCAAGGGTGTAAACAGGAATTGTCTCATTACAGAAGGGACTGGAAGTGCTCAGTGCTCTGAGATCACACATGTAGGTGGGCAGACAGCATGTACACATTTTAATAGTCTGGGGACCTCTCCTAGGGAGCACTGACTTGGTTTTGATCAAGTACCAAGACTTTTTAGCTCCAAAGAAACATCTGGCAGTGACCCCTTCATAGGCAGAATACTGAACCTGAGGGACCCTGGAAATCTACTCTGATATGTTGCTGGAGCTGTCTGCACATGAGTAGTTCGGTAGTCATACATAAATGCACATACTGTGTATGAATAATTCTATTTCTGTATCATATATACAAGGATTACATAGAGGAGTATTTGCTGTCCTCAGATTACTGCCTTCTAGCCACAAGCTGGCACATGCCATTAGCCTTTTGACATGCAGCTTCAAAAAAAGATCAAGTTTCCATCCTGCCTTTCAGCAAGGAAGATCCCAAGGAACCTGATAATCTATTCATACCTAATACCACCAGAACATAGACACCTTTGGGACAGAGAGCGCAGCCAAATACATAACAGAGTGCAGAACAGCGTTTAGGGAAAAAAAAAATAAAATAAAAAAGGGAAACATTCGGCTTGGGACTCCAGAGAAAACCTTTTTACAGAGAGCGCCAAGGAATGGTTAGCATCCATTCACGGGAGACAGAGCTGTGCTTTCTGTGGTCACATCCCAAAGACCCACAGGGAAAATTTGAACTTCACAGTTTATTCTGCCTCAGAAGTATGAAGTGGTCAGTTACCTTTCCCAGCAAGCTGGAGCAGTAGTTCTGTGTTCAGACAGACCACAAAGCTGTCCTTTCTGTGGACACCTCAAGGGAACACCAACAAATTTTCCGTGCCAAAAGTTATATTAAGCAAACCTGTTCAGGTCTCCTGGATACATGCAGCAGAAAAGCTGTAGCTTTTTAATAAGTGTTGATTCAAGATTAATGATAGTTCTCTTGACATTTCCTCTCTTACTGACTGCAACAGGGGCCTTTTTTTTTTTTCCTTCCATTTGCTCTTTTTCACATAACCTCTCCATAGCAATTAAAAAAAAAAAAAAAAAAAAAAAGCACACCAAAAACCAGAAGGAAGATATCTAGTGTGATTTAACAGCTGGAAAATAGCAAAACCAGCACCAAGCAATCAGGTCTTTTCAGGACACCAGTGATCAAAAGCCCACTGTTGAGGGACTCTGTAAAACTGTAATTTGTAGTCAGCTGTTTGCAGGAGACATAAACCTTTGCGCTGTTGAAAATTAGAGTTAACTTGTATGAAGAGGAAGAAAGGATAGATCACTCTGTATTAGTCACCCCTCACATCTTCACTGGCTGTGGGGACGCTGAAAGCATTAGGTCAGAAGCCTGACCACTGCTTTCTCCAAACTCAACTCTTCAAAATACTGGATGGGACAGAGAAAGGGGGAAAAGAAGGAGATCACTAAATGCAATACTCTTTGTCTCGTCTCAGGAAGAGGCTACACACTGAATTCAGTTTTAATGTGAGTAATTTAACACTCTCACGCAGAAGTATGACTTTTTCTTATACAAGAAAAATGGGGGAAAAGTCTTTATGAATTACAATGAAAATTCTTCACGCGTAGGTGCTTTTCTCTGATTGCTGTGGAATCAGGATGACTAGGAGATTCATGGAGGGCACAAAGAATAGAGGGATATAGGAAACACCAGCAGATTGTCAAGGCTGTTCTCTAAAGTGGTCTCATTATCCATATGTAAAATAAGAATCCCGAATATGAAAAAAGAAAATAGGATTATTACAACAGCAGAGTCTTAGTACTCCACAAAAATCATTCTTCCTCTTAATCATGGTGGTAGAGCAGAACATTGTCTCAATCTTCCTTGCTCAGACCCCACATCAACTGATTAATAACTTTGGTTAGATTTTCAGCAAACAAAAATGAATCTTCTTTCTGGAAACTGTCTTTTATGCTTTCATTGATTGTTCCCAAAATCTTGACCACAAAAGGATGCCAGCTCCTCAAGGATGAGCAGAGGATGACAAACCCAGTATCTTTTAGACAGACCCATCACAGCACAAGGCAGTGTCTTCTCCACACTGCTGTCCCCCTTCCAGTGTTTGCCTGAGGCTTTCCGTCAGAGATAATAACGGCTGTCAGAGGAATGAATAGACAAAAATGTTCACAGGGCCCACGCTCTGGGGGCGGGGAAGGACAGGTATCGTCCTCAGAAGCAGGAGAACCTTGTCTCTCTGAAAAGAGAGATCTCAATACAAAATGAAGATGAATTTTCAAACAGAAATAATAGCCCAGAGCCCGGCAGCTGAGCCCTCATTCACGTTTGGTTAGATAACACAAATACTCAGCAGTCCTCACGCAGACGTATCTCCCTGCTCAGGCCTGAAGGCGCTCTGGTAATACTCAGAAATGTTGAGTTACAGCTTTTGCAAAGCTGAAGAGAACGTCTGTGCTACCTGGTCCAGACTGCTAGAAAGTTCTTAGCAGATGCAAGTCAAGAGAATCAGTTTGAGAGGCCTGTTCGCCTTCAAGCAAACAGTTCCATCGGTGAAACTCCTTGTTTCACCAACTCCACGGATTGTGGAAACAAAGGAGCCACTAAATCCGTGCTTTTCCTGGCGCATATACTGTCAGCTCGTCTCTTGTCACACATCTCTTTTCACATGCACATTTTACTTTCATAAGCTTTGAGACATTACAGATTACTGGCTTTATCAAAAAAACTTTGTAGAACATTTATAAACTCGAGAGGAAAATTCAGCATCATCCAGACTATGGGTTATGGGTTGGTTTTTTTTTTTTTCACTCCTAGAGAAATGGAAAAATGGCATGTATACAGGCTCACAAGTGGTGGGAAGCCCTCCAGAAAGATGGAGTCTGGAGACTAATCCAAACCTCTGGAGTTTTCAGGAAAATATCAGACCAGAAATCTCACAGGAATGAACTGGCTCTGGAGATTTCTGGCAATTCCTCCTCCTGACCCCACCCAAAGCTGAAAAACAGCCACAAAAGCAAATCTAATCTTTTTCACAGTATTTTTCAGTATCACGGTCTGTGTAAAGATCCAGACTAAGTCCTTGCTTCATCTAAACCGCTCTTCCCATCCAAACATTGCAAGGACACATACTTAGCCTAATTGCGATGGTCGCGGAATTACTCTACTTTTAATTCCACATGGAAACTAGAAGTTTGATCCTCTGTGTTTGCGCAATGCAATAAAGGCCAATTGCTTTTGGCTAGCACAGCAGTCAGCTTCTTCCATTAACCTTTATTCGAGCCAAAACACTTTGGGTGTAAGCGACATCGAGTTCCTGACACAATGACGGCCAGAGAAATACCTATCATGAGAGCGGAATCCGAGAGCTCTCCCTTAACTCCAGCTGCCTTGTCTCTCCTTGACATCTTTTCAGTCTTTGAATGCTTTCTGCACAAGCCATTACACCCTTCAACACTTCTTCCAGGAAAGCGCACACAATTCCAGGAACCCCACGCCTCAGGTGAATAAATAGCAATGGCAAAAGCAACTTTCTACTGGCAAGGCAGGAGACAATGTTGAAACTTTGAGTCTCTATACACAAATGCAGTAAAAGCTACCGTGAAGGCCAATATTTCCCAAGGAAATCAAATATCAATGCATGGTTTGGATAGGAGATCTTCTGGAAAGAGTAACGAACATGTCTAACCCTCTATACTCAGCAAAATCTGATCTCACAGCCTGAGATCATTTGCTGGCTCCAAGTCACATCTGGGAGTTACTCCTAACACAGCGGGAAGAGAAGTTGTTTCTAGGGAGATCCAAGTTCCACTTCTAAATCTCCCTATAAAACAGGAGCTTTTGCCATTTAATACTGCAGGTGCCCCCTCCCTTTCTTTTTTTTTTTTTTTTTCAGATGAGGTTTGTGGTGGCCTCTAGTGGAATAGGGAACAAATGGCATAAAAAGGGAAAAGGAGGAAGGCATGTGCAGCCTCCTACTAAACTGACCAGGCCTTTGGCTGTTCATAGCTGAATTCCGTGGGGATTTGTTTAAAACTACTTGCTAGTAAAGGGCTAATCTCTGTCCCCTAGCCTGAGAGTGATCCGTCAATTCAGACCACCTGCAGCACCGTGATGGGTCATCCCATAAAGAAAAAACCTATAACACAGTTTTAAAATGATATTTTTGATGTTTCCTGATGTTCATCAAGTTGTCAAGTCCACAAGAACAGTATCCCTTGTTTCGTTTGTGCCTTTCTGCTTCCTCAGTAGAGGAGGTGGGTGCAGGTTACAACTGGATTTGTTTGGAGCCCCAGTCCAAGATCTGCCCAGGATCACAGCGGGCCGTTCCCGCGCAACAGCTAGCCCAAGACTTGGCTTCTGACTTCAAGACACATGGAGCGATCATGAGTGAATCCACTGTTTGACTAGAGTTATAATTCCTTCCTCCCTCCACTTCCTAGTAAGCCCTCACGCTCATAGAAAATACCCAGTTATTTACCTTGCCACTCCTCAGGATTATTCTAATATGGCTTTTCCATCATGACCTTGCATGCTTTGGACTTTCCACAGCTCTTTATTACCCTGTGCAACTTCTCCTGCTGCAGAGGTTCTTCTGCATCTTGGCTAGTGGCCTTGTGTTGCTCTTGATCCAAAAGAGTTCATTGCCCAATGTTTAACATTACTTTTTTGTTTAAATGACATCATTACTAAAGCTCTATTTAGAATTGTTGCTCTCCAGACTTTCTTCATAAGCTTTTTGCAATCACCCCTTCCAGCAAAGTCATATACTAAGCTGCTGCCAGGAAGGTGGCCTCATATGTATCTTGTCTGAGACTGGAACGCCACTTACCTGCCAGAAATCTTCCCATAGCACCTCTGCTCTGTCTTCACACTATAGCCGAAATCAAGGTCGCAGGATCTAGTTTGACATTTCGTTTTCTTAATAACATTTGCTAACAACCACCTAAAAAAACTTCTGGGTTTCCTCCATATGACATAAGGCTCATGGATTTCTGGGACCAGAATTGAGAAGCTGTTTGAAAACTTCTGTTTGATCATAAATCAAGCTCAGTAATTACCTTTTTACTAAAAACAGCCCCAGTTCACAGTTTCCAGACTCCACAATGGGTTCGTAGCGTTGCCACGAGCCTTGCTCAGGGTCCAGGAATTCAAGTAAACTCCACTTTTATTACAGCACCTGTAGCAGCTTCTGCAACGTGAATCTCCAGTGGCACCAGTTGATAATTGCTGGTCTGCGTGACACTGAGGGGACAGCGTGAAGGACTCGCTATCTCTCTGTCTTTTCAGAGCTCTTTCAGCACCTTTCCGTTTATTTACTGGCTGTCGCCCCGGCTGCCTGCCACCACGGTGTGCTGCCTCCTCACACAGCCCATGGCAAAGGCAAAAGCAAAGGTTAGCTGGGTAGTTCAGCTGGAAGTGCCATTGAAATCCTGGTAGAAGGCAGATTGGATCAGGTCCTGAGGCGTTGCCATCAGGGTGCTGCTGCACCCAAGCCAGGCTGGTGGATCTTAACTCATCCAGCCTGAGGAAGTCTCTGTAACCAGCATGACCAGGTTGGGGTGAATTACTCCACCTCTGCCCTGGCTTGGGGCTTAGGCTCGTAGCTGAGGAGCAGGTTATGAAACTGCACTGAGAAAGGGAACAGCAACAACCCTTAGCAAAGGAACTACGTGAAACACTCCTTAACACCGATCTGGTGGTGGGAAACCTTGTTTCGAGCAAGTAGGGGCAAATCCACTGGATTTTGAGGCCACTGTGTTCAGACTTGGATCAGCACTGGTGTGACCAGCAGGAGCAGGGAGGTGACAGTCCCCCTGTGCTCAGCACTGGTGAGGCCACACCTGGAGGGTTGTGTCCAGGTTTGGGCACCTCAATCCCAGAGAGATCTGGAGGGGCTGGAGCGAGGGCAGAGGAGGGCAACGAGGCTGGGGAAAGGCTGGAGAATCAATCCTGTGAGGAGCCAGGGAAGGAGCTGGGAGTGTTCAGTGTGAGGAGGAGGAGGCTGAGGGGAGCCCTCATCCCTCTCTGCAGCTCCTGACAGGACATTGCAGAGAGGCTGGGGCTGGGCTCTGCTCCCAGGGGATCAGGGACAGGACAAGAGGGAACGGCTGGAAACTGCCCCAGGGGAGGGTCAGGCTGGGCAGGAGGAGAAAATGTTTCCCAAAAAGTGTGGTCAGAGAGTGGAACAGGCTGCCCGGGGAGGGGGGAGTCCCCATCCCTGGGGGGGTTTCAGGGCCGTTGGGATGAGCTGTGGGGGATGTGGGGTAGGGGAGAACTTTGTCGAGTTGGACTCGATGATCCCGAGGGGCTTTTCCAACCTGAAGGATTCTGGGATTCTGTATAATCAACTGAAATGTTCACTCTCAGGAGTACCGTTAAAATCTGGGACCCCACCGTCCTCTTGA